TCTACTTATTATTTTTCTCCTTTTTATGTTTGTTTAAGAGTTTAAATCTTGTATTTTGTTTTCCAATTTTGCTGATTATGTTTAATTATTTTTTAAGTCAAAGTCAATAATTAATTTTAATCACGTATTTCATAGGACCCACAACTTCATTCAATCAACTTTTATCAAAATCAACCAGAAATCTAATTTTAATCTCCATCAAATAGGGGCTCAATATTCACGCTTAGACCTTTTTTCCTAGACAACGTCTAGGCACCACATATGGGGTAAAATGCCTCGCTTCACGCTTAGACCTTTTTTATCAATTCCTAAATGTTTAAATTTTTTTCCTTCATCTCTTTCGTTTTCCCTAAACTCGCTTTATTAGATTTATTTTTTATTTTTATTTTTTTGAAAGTCTTTTATTTGACTTTAGTTTATTAATTTTTTATTTTTAAAAAAAAACTTTTCTTTTTGACTTTAATTTTAAGTTTTTAAAAGATTATTTCTCTACAAAAGTTATAAATGATTTTATTCGATAAATAGTTAATTAAGATTTAAGTTACACTGTTATATACATTATGTAATTACTCGTTGTTTTGTATAAAATTTCGAAAACATGTATGAAGATCCTATAAATCTATTCAATAGGATTAGGGGTGTCAAATTGGCTCGTTGGCTTAGGCGGCCGGGGAAAGCCCGAGTCGGCTAGTGTGGCTCGTTGGCTCTTAACGAGTCAAGCTTAAAAAAAATAAACAAAAAAATCTGCAAAACTTTTTTAAAAAATAATAAAATTATTTAGCCGTCTTAACAGTACGGCTGCCTGTTATGGAAGATATATATAAAAAAAAAAAAAAAAACGAGTCGGCTCTACTCGCTAAGGCATGAGCCAAAAGTTCGAGTCGAGCCTAGATTTTTTGGCCGAGCAAAATCTCCGCTCGGCTCGTTGACATCCCTAGATAGGACTTGTCTAGTTGAAAATTGAAACTATGAAAAATAGTTTAGTTTCTGTATTTTGAAAACTTGAAAATTGT